GCAGGGAGCCCGATGCGGGACTCGATCCCGGGACTCCAGGATCATGACCTGAGCCGAAGGCAGTCGCTCAACCAACTGAGCCACCCAGGTGCCCGGCAGGGTTACATTTTTAAAGAAATCAAAAGGAAATGAGAGAGTGTCTAGCAATTTCAAGGATTGGTCTTGGACTTTTCAGCCTCCAGAACTGTGAGAAAATAAAATGTTTGTTGTTTAAGCCACCTAGTCCATGGTATTTTTGTTATAGCAGCCCAAATGGACTAAGATAATATTCTACAGTACTCAGGTGCCTGAGAGCAAGTTAGAATACTGGCATTGTGTGTTAACTACTTCATTTTTGCAGTAGTCATCAGGGATCTGGACCCTTGAAAAGTCAGAGGTTTATGCTGATCAACTTAAGGAGCTTATCCCATTCCACTCTTATATTCAGGGCAACAGCAATTGCTGAGTGAGAAGATCTCTCCCCAGCACTCTTCTCAGAGCCTTAACTACATCCTTATTCCGTAGAATATAAATCAAAGGATTCAGCGTGGGTATAATGATGCTATAGAACACAGAACCAACAAGTGCATCAAGATCATTGTGTGAATTAGAGAGTTTGTGGATGCTCCCAACCACGACATGACGGCCATCATCAGTCCCACCTTTCTGTTCATGAGAACAGTATAATGAAGTGGATGACAAATGGCAACATAGCAGTCGTAGGACATGAGAGCTAAGAGAAGACACTCAGCACCACCCAGAGACAAATAGAGGAAGTGCTGGGTGGCACAGCCCACAAAGGAGATGGTCTTCTTGCCAGATAGGTAGTTGGTAGCCATCTTCGGGATGGTTGTGGAGACATGCATCAGATCCATGAGGGAGAGCTGGCTAAGCAGGAAGTACATGGGTGTATGAAGCTAGGCATCAGCACAGATGAGGAGAATAGTGAGCATGTTGCCACTCACTGCAATAAGGAAGACCACTATGGTTAAGGAGAAAAGGAAAAGGTGGATGAGAGAGTCATCAAAGAGGCCTTCAAGGATGAAGTCTGCCAGAGAGGTCTGATTCCTCTGCCACATCTCCCCTTTCTCAGTGTCTGGGGAAAGAGGAAGTAGAGATGAAGTGTGATTTCAGAAAAAACGGAGTTTGGCACACCTGACAGTAAGTACCTTTTGATCTACCAAAGAATTTGTGAAGAGAGTTTTTTTCTATTTCCGATTCTTCAACAGTGCTAATTATTGAAATAACTTAAAAAAAAATCTTCAAATCTCTCTGCACAAACATAACTCTGAAATTCCAGAATATCTAGATTCTATTAAGTGCCAAACTTCGAAACAAGAGTCTCTCCTCATTAAGGAAGAAATATATATATATATACACTAAATTTTATATATATTAGATATATACTACTGTATAAGTATATATGTGTATAATTTTATAAGTACAAATGTATCTACCATATACACTTAATGGATTGTTCAGAAATTTGGCCTTACACAATTGTGAAGGCTGGTTAAGCAGTCTATATAAGGCTCTCACCTTTGTGTCTGATAGAGGAACTTGAAGTCCATAGGGCAAGTGGTAAGGAAGGGAAAATGGATATAAAGTGCGTTAGATCATGGGCAGGCTGGAACCCACAAGCATGAGCTATAATAACCCCACAAAGGCAGACTGAAACCCATGTTAGTTCTTGTTGACTCTGGAATTGGTGGTATGGTTATTTTGCAGAAACTGGGGTCCTTCCTAGTGAAGCTAACCACGCACACCTGACCCAGAAGTCAGAGAAGCTAAAGGAGGATCCAGGGGGGAGGTAGAGCAACCACAGGCCCAGTTGCTACTTCACACCAATGAGATAAGTCAGCAGATCAGCAACAACATATGTAAACTACAAAATGGCTGCTTCCCTTCTGCCCTCTTAATCTCCCTTGGAATCTCTCCTATGGCCTACTTTCTCCAGAAATGCACAAAAATGGAAATTCTGAGAAATGTAGTTCACTCTAGCCAAGCTGACACATTACAAGACCACCAGAGCCCATCCCCTGTTGGTTTGACATTCATACACATCTCCTTAAGCCAACAAACACAACAGTGTCATCCTTCTGCCTAACATAACTATCCTGCATACAACCAAAAATGTGCGAAATATTCATATAATATTCATATAAAATATAATCGTATACATATTTGTATAAAATATAACATTCGTATAAAACAATACCCATTACACAAAGCAAGTCATCCTATCTAAGTGCCAACCCATCCTGTGGACATCAGTTAGCACTCTTGTAGTCACTCCTGTTCATGCCAATGGACTCACAAGCAAAGTGGCCAGAGCAGCAGGGATGGAGGCTACACATGAGCTCAGCAACATGGACCTCCACTCAACAAGACCAGTCTAGCTACAGCCACTGCTGGGTGCTCAGTCAGCCGACAACAGAGACCAGCACAGAGTCCCTGATATGGCAGCATTCACCAGGGGAATCAGCCAACTACTTGGTGGCAGACTGGTTATGATGGACTGCTTCCATTGTGGGAGAGAAACTACTTTGTTCTTACTGGAAGAGACACTTACTTTGGATATGGTTTTGCCTTCCTTTCCTGCCGTGCTACTGCCACAGCTTACAGAATGCTTTATTCAGCATAATGGTATTCCAAGAAGCATTGCTTCTGACTAGAACTTATTTCACAATACATGAAGTGTGGGATTGGGCCCATGCTCATGGAATCTAACAGTCTGACCACATTCTCCATCATCCTGAAACAACTGGCTTGGTAGAACGGTAGAACAGCCTTTTGAAGACTCAGTTACAGCAACAGCTGGTTGACAATACCTCCCATTGCTGGAGCAGTGTCTTCCAGAATGTGCTATATGCTCTAAATCTGTAGCTATGGTGCTGTTTCTCCCATCACAAGGGTTCACAGGACCAGGAATCAAGAGGTGGAAATGGGAGTGAGTCCTCTCACTATAATGTCTATAACTATGATCCACCAGCAAAATTTTTGCTTCCTGTCCCTGCACTTTTAGCCTTTGCTGGTTTAGAGGTCTTAGGCCCAAAGGGAGTTCTTCCACCAGGTAACACAACAATGATTCCATTTACTGAGAGTTGAGACTGCCACCCTGCCACTTTGGGCTCCTCATATCACTGAATCAACAAGAAAAGGAGGTTCTTCTACTGGTTTGGTGTGATTGATCCTGACTGGTAAGGAGAAACTGAGTTTCTACTATACCATGGGGTAAGGATGAGCATGTCAGGAATGCAGGATATTTTCTAGGGTACCTCTCTGGACTCAAATGTCCTGTGATAAAAGTCAGTGGAAAGCTACAACAACCCAATTCAGACAGGATTGCTAATGGCCCAGATTCTTCAGGAATGAAGGTTTGGGTCACTCCACAGTCAAGGAACCAGGACCAACTGTGGACAAAGGGAATATGGAATGAAAAGTAAAAGAAGACAGTTATAAACACCTGCCACGACCATGAGAGCAGCTGCAGAAACAAAAAGTTAACAGTTATAGGCATTTCTTCCTTATTTTGATATGAACATTTTGTATATGTTATATTACCCATATGTTTTGGTTTTCTTCCCCTTGGTCATCCCTTTTTCTAACATCAGATATATTAATAGAGTTAACTTCCATCTCAGTATTTAAATTATAGGATATAAAAGGAGTAGTATAAATGAGATAGTAGAATGAATTTCATATAAAGGTAAAAATGGAATTTTGTGTCCTCTTATGGGGAAATGCTTGGTGTGTTTTATATCCTCTTCTTAGGAAAAAGTTAATATGTTTTTGGTTGTACATGGGATAGGTGTATCATGTTAGGTGGAAGAGTAACTTGGTATTGCCTTTATTTGGAGATTAAATATGATTTAAAGAGTTGTGTAAACGTGCCAAGTGGACACATAACAAAGCCACCGTATTTATATACCTGAACACAAATAAGAGATACTTCCTGCGTAGACTTGAGAGCCTTCAAATCAGAATGATGAAACTAGGATTATAACATTTAATCTGCCAGATTTTCCAGTCAGCCCTTTATCTAATTCTTATGTGAATACTGATCATAATGATAGCTTGGTCTCCATGGTGAAGCCCAACTCAATAATAGTCCAAATTGATCCCTAGAATATCCACACCATCCCTCTTTGTGTTTTTCCTCCTGAACATTTCCCTAGATTTTCATGCATTCCAGATTATCTACTTAAATTTTAAAGCAGATAACTCAGAACTCAGTGTGTTCTTCAGAGTATAATTTGACCAGTAAGAAAGAGGTCCCATTTATTATTCTCTCTCTCCATATTAATGCAGCCTAGGATTATCTTTTTGGCCACCACCTCCTATTGCTATTGCAAACTTAGCCTCTTGTGGACTGAGAGCCCAACTTTCTCCATGCTCCCTCCAATCATTCCAACCCAGTCAAAACACCCATATTTTGCTTTTACTTAGGTGTCCATACTCTCCCCTATCCATCTCCTTCCTCCTCAGTTTCCAGCTTTCTCTGTAAGGCTCCATAGTGTAAGCTTTTCCATCACCTGATTCATGTCTCTCTTCCTCTCTTAGGCAAATTTCCTGATAATTTCCCATTCTGATTTGTAGCCCTCTCGTGACTTTTTCTTCTGCCTTCTCTGGCAACTTTCTTCATGGACTGACTGAATATCACCCCGTGACTAAAGAGATGAGGAAATAAGCTGACAATGCCAGAGGATGCCCTAGTTTCTAATAAAGGTTTCCTAGACACCTCAAGCCCCAGTATTAGCTTACCTGGCATTCCCTCTGCAGAGACTTGTGGGCAGAACAAGTATAGAAGTGGAATGGAGAGGGCTGAATAGGTCCACACTGACTCACATACAGGCCACTGATCATTCAAACAGGTCTTTCCTGAGGTGCTCATCAGACTTCCTTGTCTGATTCTGAAAATCTCCATTTACTGGTGGAATGGCATAGAAGATACTTTCTTACACAGTCACCATTGTTGACACTAATTATCCTAGTGACCGAGTATCACCAGGAGCAATAGTAACTGTAATTCTGTAATGCTTTTGCAATCTGTGCTCAGATTTTGAACTCCAGTAGTACACATCAGGACAGATTAAGTAATTAAACTTCTTTAACCTCTACCAGTGGGCCTTTGAATCATGCATATGCTTCCTCTGCCTCTAAACATATATCTGAGCCACTGCTCATCCCAAAATGGCAATGCAAGCTTGGGCAATAAGAATTTGCATTAATGTGACCTGATTAAGAAACTACATTAAGGGCGCCTGGGTGGCTCAGTCGTTAAGCGGCTCCCTTCGGCTCAGGTCATGATCCCAGGGTCCTGGGATCGAGCCCCACATCGGGCTCCCTGCTCAGCGGGAAGCCTGCTTCTCCCTCTCCC